CAGTAAGAAAAAGACCAATTCTGCTGGAATATAGTTTTCACACACATCACAACTGTGACCTCAATGTGACCAGGTCCTTAATCTCTTGCTGGCCTAGCAGCAGAGCCCTAGAGTTGAAAAGGCTCTTCCCAGGTGAAAAAGTTAGCAATTTTCTTATCTATGCTCAGCAAGCTTGGAAAAATCACCCTAAATATCGGTAATAAATAACGATTCTGCTTTCTCTTTCACAGAGCGTTTCTGCAACGGGAAAAGTTGTCCTTTTCTAGACAGCTTTCTAGGCTGTGTGCGGCTTGCCCTGACGCTTCCCAGCCCCTGAGAGTAGTTACTGGCTGTTAACAGTAAGTAATTCATGATTTACATCAATCTACTTCAATGGCTTGCCTTATACTTGTGGCTGCTACTGCGTGGATGCTTTGCATATATAAACATGAGGTTTTTAAAAGGACTAATCTAAAATACAGTATTGCAGAATCTTAGATATTGGAGGTACTTTTTAAACAAGTATGCCTCTCTTTGCTGGTCATATTTTTTAATTTAAATAATTTTATTTCAACATAAGGGAAAACATATTTGTAAAATACAACAAAAGCAGCACAAAACAAAATAAGAGTACAAAGAAAAATAAAAAAACACTACTGTAGAAAACCCAAATCCATTTTCTTTGTTTACAAATGTAACTAACACATCTTTATCTACAACATACAACCTATACACAATCACATTCTAAACAAACACCTACTAAACTGATCTACAAACTTCCCACTCATTTATTGATTTTAGCTTCTTATTTGTTAGTCCCTTTTAAGTAACACTTTATTTCTATCTTTCAACTTTTAATAATAATAATAAAACTTTATTTATATTTTGCTCTATCTCCCCAAAAGGACTCAGGACGGATTGCAAACATAAAAGGCAAACATTCAATGCCTGAATACAACAACAATACATCTATACTAACAAAATTTATACAACCCACCATATAAATACGAATTATAACTTAACAAACTAAAATTAAATAAGAAGCACAGCCTGTTATAACAGACATAAGACAAAACATCAAACATCAAATGGAAACAATAATAACACTCTTTCATATCAGAAAGCAATTGTATATTGTCCCCATATTAGCTGTATGCAAATAATAAGTCCAGTCTTTCTTGGATTTAGTCAAAATATTCTCTTTAATCAACATCATCATTTTGTCCATCTCAACTAATTCACATATCTTCATCAGCCAATCTTCTTGTGTCAGTATACCTGGTTCTTTCCATCTCTGGGCATAGATGATTGTTTGTGATGGCACACCTGAGCCTTTGGGAAACTATAGTGTCTGGGTTAAATCGGGGGCTATCTGATACCTTCTGTTAAGATTTAAGACCCTTAGTAGACAGAGGCACTTTAGGCAAGGTGAAAAGATAACCAAACGAGTTCACTAAAACAAGATGAATCAAGGGTTAACTCTTCACAAAGTAAGTTAAAACAATACATTACAAAAGGAAATTTTTCTGGTTGCAGTCATCTTTCTGGGGTCTTTGAAAGTCTCTCTTGCCTCTGGTGCAAAGTGATGGATTATAAATTGTTGCTTACAAACTGTCTTAATCTTCTCTCCTGTGAGGCTGAGGCTGGCCAAAAACTTCTGCTGTCATTTGGACTGTTGGTATAAAAATACTGCTAAATGCAGCAGGTGCTAAGAATGCCTGTATGAATTGCTTGGGCCTAGGATTGCCAGACAAGCCTCTAGTGACTGTAGAAAAAGGGAGGAGTCCAGTAAGAGAGCTCTATACAGGGAAATGGGATAGACCAACTAAGAGGATTTTAAGTTCCACCCAAAAACAAAGGAAGGTCTCTACACAATTGGGACGGTCTATAAACAGGGGAAACTAAAGCAGAGAAGAGGAAAAGGCAGAGCTAAGACTTCACATTGTAATCATATGTGATAGTGATCTTCCACATTTCTTTTCTAAGTGGTCATTCTGCATCCCCCCAAAAAAACAGTCCAGGTTTAATTTATTTGTTATTTATTTATTTAACACATTTATATTCCACCCTTCACCCCGAAGGGGACTCAGGGTGAAACCTCCTTCAAGAGAACATTGTATAATTCCTTTCAGAATATTTAAGTTTTTAGTAATAGGATTAAAGCAGTGGTTCTCAACTTGTGGGTGCTCAGATCGTTTGGCCTTCAACTCCCAGAAATCCTAGCAGCTGGTAAACTGGCTTGGATTTCTGGGAGTTGTAGGCCAAAACACTTGGGAACCCACAAGTTGAGAACCACTGTTCTAACATCATATGTGTCCGAGTCTAATATTTCTGGGTCTTTTAACAAGCTTACCACATATGACCAAATATTCTAACATATTCCTTGCATTTCCAACAATTACTGGATTGTATACCTTGTGAAATAGAGCTGGGTCTACAGTACCAACAGAGCCCTACTTTATGAATTGCAAAGTGATGGAGCTGGGAAATCAAGGGTTCAGGGGATTGCCGGGATAGTCCAGGGCACAGACCCGGCTTCTGCAAAAGTACTGAATAGCTGCGGTTCCATATTGGGCAGAATGGAGTCCAGACAGATTAGAGAACTAGGAGATAATGGTTGCATTTGCACTGATCAGCTGGTGCAGCTGAGTGAAATCACTACTAGGGGCACTTCCAGACAGGCAATTATCCCAGGAGCATCCGCGTTTAAAAAATTAGCCTCCTAAGTACAATCATAAAACTATACGTAACACATCTACAATGGAAATTCCATGACTGGCTGGAGCAAGCAAACATACTGGTCATAGAGCAAGCTGGATTTAGGAATGGCCGATCCGCCGTAGTCCAATGTCTAGTATAACAACACGTGATAGAAAAATACTCTGCCCATATCATATCATTGCTCTAAGTTGCCTTCATAGATTTTAAAGCAGCTTTTGATTCCATCTTCTGAACATACTGGTCATAGAGCAAGCTGGATTTAGGAATGGCCGATCCGCCGTAGTCCAATGTCTAGTATAACAACACGTGATAGAAAAATACTCTGCCCATATCATATCATTGCTCTAAGTTGCCTTCATAGATTTTAAAGCAGCTTTTGATTCCATCTTCTGATTTAATCTATAGGAAAAACTGGAGACCTCCTTAATTGACTAATGACTGCTATTCCTAATCCACCTACTCCTTGAACGGATCTCACTCAGAATAAGTTGTAACCCCCAGGGCCACCTCACCAATGCAGTAGGAACTGAGAATGGTGTTAAGCAAGGTTGCATCCTGGCCCCACAACTATTAAACGTTTACATCAACTTCCTGGTGGATCATCTTCTCATCATGTACTTCCACCTGCCAAACCTTGTGGGAAGACCTGTCTCCACCTTCTCAACATGTACTTCCACCCGCCAAAACTTGTGGGAAGACCTATCTCCACCTTACTTCATGCAGATGTTTCTGCACTACTTTCAAGCTAGCTCTTAACTCAGAATGCTGCTCTTATGTCAAAGCAAAATCAGGGCTGTGTGATAGCTCTTAACTCAAAATGCTCTTAAATTGAGATGCTCTTAAGTTAAGGTTCCACTGTATAAACAAATACAGGGGGGTGCCCTCTCCTTGAAAGACATTGCCTTCTATCTTATGCTCCACCAGCTCTCCTGTGAGTTTTTGTCATATTAGCTGGCAGGTGCCTAGTGATGCCCAGGTCCATAACTAATAATCCAAAGACTGATCCTCACTGAGAGACACAGAGGTTACAAATAGGCATTACTAGAGAACATCTACATGTCGTTTCATGTTAACTTTATAGCTAATAGCCTTAGGCCATCATTTGGTCCATTAAAGTAAACTATACATAAACATCAGATGAGAAAATCATCTAAATAGGTCCATTTATATTTATCAAACAGTATTCATTCCTACATAAAGGAAAAATTACTAAAATAACTAAAATTTTACAATATAAAAAAGTAATTCTGTATCCCTTACTAGCTGAAAACAAAGGTACAATAACATTTTAAAGTCAGCATTCCATTTATCCCACTATTTTTCCCCTTTGGTGCTTAGCTCTTAGGTTTCTTGCCATTAAGGCAAAATCAGCAACCTACATAATAATAAAAATATCACTGACTTCTAGAAATAAAGGCAGTCGCCAAATTACAAACAAGATAGGTTCTGTAGGTTTGTTCTTAAGCTGAATTTGTATATAAGTCAGAACAGGTACGATTTTCAGTGTATCTCCAGCCAAAAATATGTATTGTTAGCTTTGGATAGCGTAGGGAAGGGTTAGCACCCATGTAGTGTTTGTTTCACTGTCTGGGCTCCTGTTCAGAGGATTTCATCTCGCTTTCTGTCCCTGTGATAATTTGAAAATATTGGCATTTGTGGTCCAGCAGAAACAAGAACTGGCTCTAAAGCATCAGCTGAGATATTTTTTTCCCATGAGAACTCTTTCAGTGATGAATTTCCCTTCCGAGGGGTAGTTTTTTCTCACTTCCTGTTGTCTCACCTCAGTTCCTAACTATAAGTAATTTGTAAGTCGAATCTTTGTAACTCGAGGACTGCCTGTATACCAATCTTATGAGAGTGTTAAAGAGAGGAAGATATAGGCAAGGAATTGGTCTCTTGGGAAATTATACAATGAGCATCTTAATAAATATTTGGGAGGGATCCTTAACTTCATCAGACTTACCTATTTTTGGCCAATTTGAGAAAGATCTTGTGTATTGTTAGTGTAAATGTGTCCTAAGTAAATCTGCTTCACCATACAGAAACCCTTTGTTTAAAGGGGAGAAATAGACTTTCTCTCTCAATCTCTCTCTCTTTCAGATAACTTGAATTTTCAAGAGTCACAGCCATGGGTATCGCAATAACAAAAGGATTAATTAAAGAAGAGTTCAGCCAATTGAAGGATGCCATGGAAGAAGGGGACGTTGCAGGTGTTGCAGCCAAAATAAACAAAGAAATGGAATTATTAAATAACACCACACTTCGTATTGGCATTACAGGATGCTCGGGTGCAGGTAAATCATCGCTTGTCAATGCCCTGCGAGAAATGGCAGATGATGAAGAGGACTCAGCACCGACTGGAGTAAAAGAAACTACAAAGGATGTACAGGCATATCAGCACCCCAAGTTCCCCAAAGTTATATTTTTTGATATGCCTGGAATTGGAACATCTAATTTTAAAGCAGCTAAATATCTAAAGCAGGTAAATTTTAGCCAGTATGATTTTTTCATCATTGCTGGAGGAGATCGATTCACTGAAAATGATGTCAAGCTAGCTTGTGAAATTAAGAAAATGAAGAAGATGTACTACTTTGTGCGCACACAAGTGGATAAAAGTATTGATTCGGAGAAAAAGAAAAAAAGCTTCAATGAGGAAAAAACCCTTGAGGAAATCAGGAATTATTGCATGGAAAATTTGAAGGAATCAGGAGAGCATCCACCAAGGGTTTTCCTAATAACAAGATGGGATTTGAGCAAGTATGACTTTCCACTCCTTGTAAAAGCATTGGAGGAGGGCCTGGATGATGTCAAGAAACATGTTTTAATCATGGCTCTTCCAGCTTTTTCTAAGGAAGCCATTCAAAAGAAAGAGAATGCCATGATATCTCTTATATGGAAACTGTCTTTTGTGTCTTGTGCTATTGGGGCCACTCCTATCCCAGGCCTCTCTCTTGCTTGTGACACTGCCATCCTGGTGGGAGCAATGATAACAATATACAAGAGTTTTGGGTTGGATGAAGACACCCTTCGTAGATTTGGAGAACGTGTTGGAAAACCTGTGGATGAATTGAAGTCTGCTGTCAAGAAAACCCCAAGAGCTGGTAGAATCACCAAAGAATTTGCAATTGACTACTTGCAGAAGTCAGCAGTATGGGTAACAGTAACTGTTATTGAGTTAGTCCTAGATTTTGTACCTATTGTAGGCTCAGTGATCGGTGGAGGTGCTTCTTTTGTTACCACATTCTACATGCTGAAGAATTTCCTGAGAGATGTTGTGGAAGATGCACATAATGTTCTGAAAAAAGCTCAGGAAAAAAAAGAATGAAGAGACCAAGGTTATGGATGTTGGTGGAATGCTGGCGCATGCCTTATAGTTTTCCAAGCATAAGCTTCCTTCAACGCTGCACACTGAACTCACAAAAGCCGCCGTAGCAAGCAAAGATAGCAGAGTCATTCATAGCAGAGTATAACTTAGCAGCTTTTCAGCAGAGTACAATTTAACTTCTGATCTTCTTCCTGCACACTGTTTTAAATAAACTCTCAGATTCCGTAATATTCATCCAAACAATAGGACACTTTCATCTTCAGTCATTCCACTATTTACAGTTCTACATTTCAGGATACATCCAATCCACTATCAGGCTTGCACTTACTCATGAAGAGATACACTTCACTATAGCCACGCTTACAGATGAAAACACAAAGAGAGATCACGAACAGAGAGAATGAGAGAGTATTTCCCTTTCCCTATATAGCAGTGTTTCTCAACCTTCCTAGTGCCACAACCCCTTGATACAGTTCCTCAACCCCAACCATAACATTATTTTCATTGCTATTTCATAACTGTCATTTTGCTACTGTTATGAAGCGTAATGTAAATATCTGATATGCAGGGTATATTTTCATTTACTGGACCACATTTGGCTCAAATACCTAATACACCCAAATTTGAATACTGGTGGGGTTGTGGGGGGGTTGATTTTGCTAATTGGAAGTTGCAGTTGCCAGGATTTATAGTTAACCTACAATCAAAGAGCATTTTGAACTCCACCAACAGAGGAATTGAATCAAACTTGGCACACAGAACTCCCATGACCAACTGAAAATACTGGAAGGGTTAGATGGGCATTGACCTTGTAGTTCACCTACATCCAGAGAGCACTGTAGTTCAGTAGTAGTTCATCATATCCTCTTAGTCATTCCCCAGGTGTTTGTTACATGTCCATTAGACCAGTATTTTACACATGGGTGAAATTCCCAGGCATTTTTTATCCAGCAGTGGAAACCCATTGCTTGTTTTTTGGCAAGTCACACTATTTCAACCTCAAAGGAAGACTATGACAAACTCCTTCTGAACAAATCTCTCCAAGAAAATCCCATGATAGGATTCCTTTAAGATTTCCATGAAGGCACACAGCAAGAACCACCTATATGCCATATTGATCTTATTCATATCCACTGGATCTCTCCATAATTCACTCAGAGAAAATGCTCTTTCCCTGCAATTTAGGAATAATAATCATGAAACATTGTTTTTGCTTCACAACTGCTGCTCAGTTTTAATTCATCTCTACACCACCAGTTTTATAGACGCTATGAAAATGGATTAAACCATGTTACCCAGACATGTTGAGTACTTTGAATAGCCACTCCAAACGTTGATTGAAACCTTGATTGCACCAAGGCCTCACAGATTTGATCCATACCTTCACCATTTTCTCCTGGGTCAGTTGTTTTGTTTCCCCAACCTCCCCAACCCAACCCTGTAAGCTGGAAACTTCTTCCTCTCCTTCTCTTGGCACACCTTCTACAAGCCTCCTGTACTAGTTGTTTGTTATATATATAATTCCTATTGCTTACTGCATTGTATATGTGTGTATTGGTATGCAGTTTTCTTTAACGCTTTGTTGTGTAACTTAATATAATAAGATTATTAAGAATAGCTTTGTCCATAACTTCATAACCACATATGTATTAAGAATATGCTACTTTCTAAAGCATAATAAGACCATGTGACCAGATCTGGGACTTGTTCAGACTCAGACTCCATTTTAGAAGTGTGTTTGCATCAGAAGCAGTACAATAGAGTTTAGAAATAAGTAGAAACAGAAGGCTTTAGCAAAGGGACTCTATTAGACTCTCAGACTAGAGAGACGCTTTGGACTTTGGACTATTAAGATTATAAGAAAGATGCCCTGTGTTATCTGCACAGAGAAACTACTTCAAATCCTATCTGTAACTGGATTGATATATATCATACCTGTATGCTGAATACATAAAGTTTGTGAATAAACCAACTATGTTACGTTTAAAAGAAGTCCTATTTTATTTTTGGTCTATTAAGAGCATGATTTAAAACAATATGTTTTAAGGGAGAGTAGATGGTTTTGGGCAACTGAAAAGAACACTTCTGAAACTCTGCTATATATGTTTTTTGTGCATTGGCATATTTTTATCCCTAACAGTTGAAAGAGATATCTAGGTATATCAGTTTAACAACTGAGAAACCTGGGTTGCCATGCATGAAAGCTGGTGGATATTTACCACAAAAGAGAAGGTTACTCAAGCGAGTTTTTAACTCTTCTCAGGAAGATAATACTTTTTAAAAGGTTACAATTGCTAACAAGGTAATGCCTTTCCAAAAGATTCCTGGTTTTCCCAAAAGGTTATGAATGCCATTTTCCAAAAGGTTATGTGACCAGTGGTTTTCCAAAAGTTTGACCTATATTCATCAAGCCATATAGGTGCCTTTGTGGTACAAACATGCACATACATATATGCATACATACATTAACTTTTATATAGAGCACATAAAAAAAACACAAGGCTTGCCATGTTAATGTATGTGGCCCTTGAAGACCGTTAAAAAAAAAGATCAGCAAAGAAGGGGCTGGAAGAGGAGGGGAAGGGAGATAAGAAAGACAGACAGAGAACCAACCAGATTTTCCCAACATCAACTTGGTCCTTTCTAACTAGACAAACAACTGTGATGCCGCTGAAACCAAAGAGTCTTACAACCAATAAGATTATCATGGTATCCTCTCTTTTTAAAATTTTTATTTCTGCCCAATATTTATATAAAGGGGAAAACACCAATCAGAATACAATGAGAATAGTGTGTGGTATGTTGTCTTGGGTTACTTACCAATCTATTGAGTTATATTATATAGTCTTACACTTACAGCTAGCCCTTTGATGACACCATAAGGCTGAAGTGGCCCTTGGTGAAAATGAGTTTGCACCCCTGATATTATTATTATTATTATTATTATTATTATTATTATTATTAAACTTTATTTGTACCCCGCTAGCATCTCCTAAAGGACTCGATGCGGCTTACAAAGGCCAAGGCCTCAACACAACAACAACAAACAATAACAATACAATGCAAAGCAAATTAAAAACATAAGCAATAACAAAACAAAACATTACACTATTACGCAATAAAACCAGGGCCGGGCCAATGATGGGTACAGGTTAAAAAGTGCTGGGTGTGAGAGGTGATATGTTGGGATTCTGGGCAAATGCAATGTGCAGAGAGTCTTAAACTCTAATAAAGTGCTTCTGGGACGTAGTGCTGGAAGTTATCCTATTCTGGAAAGGCACATCGGAATAGCCAGGTCTTCAAGTTCTTCCTAAAGACTGCCAACGTGGGTGCTAGTCTATTGTCTTTGGGGAGGGTGTACCAAAGTCGGGGGGCAACCACAGTGAAGGCCCTGTCCCTCGTCCCCACCAAACGAGCCTGCGACGCAGGTGGAATCGTGAGCAGGGCCTCTCCGGATGAACTGAGGGAGAGCGTGGGTTCATATGATATATAGAGAGATACACCATGATAGTTGTCTCTGCCTTCTCTAGCACACAGATTTATAGGTTCAAACCAACCAAGTGAAACTTGTGGCATCTAGTCATTCATGTGATGCCAGTCCAGGTATCAACTGAAGTGAAACATAACATTTTATCCAGATTGTGGCACAGAAGACTGGGTTGTGGCGCACCTGGTTGGGAGTCAGCTGCATTGAAATCACTCCTGACTGAAAGGTCATGAGTTCGAAGCCAGCCCGAGTCGAAGTAAGCTCCCAATCATTTGCTTAGCTTGCTGTCGACCTTGGGAGCCCGAAAGACAGTTGCATCTGTTATGCAGGGAGGCTAATTTAACTAATTTACAACGCCATAAAAATCACCAGCAGCATGCAAAAGAATAAGGAAGTACTCCATCGGTGTCACAAGTGGACGGTGAAGCGACAGCTCCTCTGGTGGCCGAAATTCAAAGCATACCCTCATGAAGCTGGAAAGTTATATAGCCTCAGTGTGTCTGTCTCAATATGTTGTGTGTCTATGCCACTGAATGTTTGCCATGTATATGTGCATTGTTGTCTGTTCTGAGTCCCCTGCAGGGTGAGAAGGGAGGAATATAAATACTGTAAACAAACAAACAAACAAACAAACAAATAAATAATCCTATTAGATTTGGGTTTCGAGACTCACCTTAACATTTCAAGAAATGTTCTAGGGCCCTCCCACACTGCCCCTTTATCACAGGCTCTGATCCCAGATTATCTGCTTTAGACTGAATTATATGAGTCCCCACTACCAAACAACCTGCGATAAACAGATAATCTGGAATCAGATCCTGTGATAAAGTGGTAGTGTGGAAAAGAGAAAGATAGGAAAAAACATAATTATGAAAAGTCTTTAGTGTGATTATGGCACTGCATTCAGAGTAGCAATGGCATAGCCCTCCAGGCATTGCTAGACTGCAAGCACTAGTCAGGACAACCAATGCTGAGGAAGGTTGGGAGTTGTAGTCCAAGAACATTTGGAAGGCTGCATAATTCTTATCCCATGATGACCTATGGATTCAGCATCATAACTCCATGTTTAATGAAATGCTACTAATAAGATTGTCTAATCATGGGGTTTTGGAGACAATTCAATGAGATGATGGGACTCCCTGGAAAGGAAGTATTGTTTGGTAAAGTAAAAGGCAGAAGGAAAAGAAATTGAGAAAGGTTCAAGAAATCCCTGGGTGCCCTGAGTTTGCATGACATGAGCAGGGCAATGGTGATGGGGGGGGAGACGGGGTCTTGAAAATATCTCATTCATATGACTGCCATCAATTAAAGCCAACTGGACAGAGATTAACTGTCAGGAATAGATAGTGAACTTAAAAAGTTGCATCTTTGAAGAAATCAAGCCAGGACTGATCTTTACTTCTCCCACAACGGTGCAATTGCAAAGGAGTCTCCTTGCACCCATCACGGTATGGCCCAGCTTACTTGTCCAAATGCATCTCCCTCTACGTCCTGCCCCGGAGTTTGAGATCAT